ACAGGTCCATCGGCCTTCATCCCTCCGACATCTTTATTTGATGTCGAGGGCCATCGCAAAGGCCATCGGCCTTCAGCCCTTCGGCATCTTTATTTGATACCGGGAGCTATCATACAGGCCCCTCGGCCTTCATCCCTCCGACATCTTTATTTGATGTCGGGGGCCATCACGAAGACCCCTCGGTCTCCATCCCCCCGACATCTGTATTTGATGCCAGGGGCTCTCACACAAGCCCACCTGGCCTTGCACCCCTCCGTCACCTTTATTTGATAACGGGGGGGGGGGGGGGGGGGGGGTCCTTACAAGCTCCTTAGCTTTTTCATGCAGGATCTAAGGCTGATCTTGGATATCCCCTCAGCAGACGGACACAACCGCCGCTCAACAATCAAGGCCGAAGGGTGCACTCCTTTTGCTTCATTCTGAGGGCATACGGTGTACTCTTTTTCCCTCATTAGGATTTTTTCCCACAGGGTTTTTTCCTAATGAGGTTTTTAACGAGGCATCTCCCCATTGTGGAACAAAAGGCGTCACCCCTCGGCGGCTCCTGCTGAAGGCATGCATCACTCTACTCCTGTTCCCCTCAAGAAACTTTCGGCAAAAGGAGTGGGGGACTGGGGGACTCCCCTCGGCAAAACACGCAAATGTTAAAAATTTTCTATTTCTCAGCTACAGCAAGCTGAGGCAAGATCACAACGGCAATCTACTCCCCTCGACATGATGCCTTCGGCTTACAGAATGCCTCCGGCCACACAATGCCTTCGGCCACATGATGCCTCCGGCCACACAATGCCTTCGGCCACATGATGCCTTCGGCCACATGATGCCTTCAGCCACACAAAGCCTTCAGTCAACAAATGCCCTCGGCAAAGCACACAAATGCAGATCTCTCATTACTTTACAAACTACAACAAAGAAACACATACGAGCAACACACTTACACTCCCTTCAGGAAGCTCTCAACCCTCGACATATGGGGGAATTGAGAAAATGAGGCACCCAACAGAACAGGGAAGCCTTCGGGGCAATCACCACATCTACTCCTTTTCCCTCAAGTACCTTTCGGCAAAAGGAGTGGGGGACTCCTGATGGAGTATATGGCCCAGGGACCCCCGACCCACATACTTCCTCTACTACAATCAGACCCAACATGCCCAAACGGGCCAAGCCCAGCAAAATGGAGCTCTAAGCAGCCCACAATACGCAAAGGGGTGCCTTCGGCCCCATGGCCGAAGGCACCCCACAATCCACTGAAGACTATCAACTGAGCACATTGTCACTCCCGCACTAAAATATCTTCAAAAAGTCAAAGATGACTCCTCACTGGTTCCGCTTCCACGACCAATTCCTCTTCTACAGTTAGCCGATCCAGAAAACGAAGCAGTCATTAGCTACTGTCAGAGGAACAATATCATACTCTCGGTGTCTCAAATAAACCCCCTTGAGCCTGCCCAAGGAATCAGGCGAAATATTGTGAGGGTCCTGAGAGTGACACCTAGCCACAAATACTAGTGGTAGACCGACCCCGTGATGATCAGGCTCAGTTTGTTGAGGGCCACCCCCAAATTGTTGAGGATGCTTCCTATGGTTCGTTCACCTTAACCAAAACAATAACATGCTGACAATGAGGACTCTAATAACAACGCTGGTAAGAGCGAAAAAGACAACAATGATGAGGATGACGATGATGCCAATGACAAACAAGCTAGGGAACCACATGTACGACGACGATTCATCATCAAGTTCCCTTTGTTGTGACAAAGAGGCACCTTACTCACGGAAAATCGAGAAGGAATCATTATCAGTGAGGCGCGCTCTAAGCATCAAAACGACGACCCCTCCTCGTCATTCATACCTACTAAGAGGATATAGACAGAAAGCATCTTGGGAGAGGAAATGGCTTTATTTGATGGTTGCGAAGACTTCCATGTGATAAACCGGACCGACCCCATAGGTACACAAGTTAACCTTGTCAGTTCCCGGGTAGAAGTTGCAACATCAGGTCAAACTGCGCATGAACAACCCTCCCCTAGCCACTCTACTGCCTCCCAACAGGTAGTAGTTTCAATAAAAAAAGAACCCACGCCCACCTCTCTGCCCCCTTACGGAGCAGATGAGGATATATTTAGTGGTCAACTGCCCGAGACCACTACCCTTCATTATACCACGTTGAGTCTAAGTGTCACACTTCCAACATTTTCTGATTTTTCTAGGACACCTACATTATTCACACCACCCACTACAGGTCCACTTTACCTGTCTGCAATGATCGGAGAAAACTCGATGATGATCGGAAGTCCTGCTGCACAACAATTGGTTTCACCATTATCTGCAGGCCACACACCGACACTCTTTACTGATGTTGTGAGAACGGTTAACACCCTCGCAACCGGGAACCTTGACCCCATAACCCTTACTGACTTTCTGGATCGCTATCTTGAGTCCACCATATCCTAACCCTTATATCATTCCAATCGCTGATCTAACCACCATTATGCTAGCCAGACTAATAACCGAAGAAGAAACCATTAACTCTGAACAACTAGCCCATATTTGTTTCCTCAATACCCAAAGCACATGTCGTGACAGTCTCCGCAATAACAACCATTCACATGAGGACCCCGATGATTTGGCTCCTCATGAAGGGGAGAACAAGAGGCACTAGATACTTGAGCATGGTGTTTCTCTAACCACCCGTAACTGCAACCAAACCAACCTTCCTCATAAAAAACCCAACAACTTGAATCCTCCTCTCAACCCAAAACCCACACTACCAAACCCATAACCTCTGGCTTGGTCGCGCTAAATAGAACGCTCCTAGACACATCTTTCATAAATGTTGACCAAGGATGGAGCGGAACTCCTGAGGTTGCTACTTCAAGGACACCCATCTATTCCGGCAATCAGTTAGAACCTAGTTCGAACCTGATGATAACAGGCAATCCTAGTGAGCCCGGTGTTACTTCTCACATGTCACCGCAACAACAAGCTCCATCACACATTGCAACTCAGTCAACCCATGATCAGCTTGAAGAATACATACTAGATGCTAAATGGAATGAAATCAGAGGTGAGGTAGAAGCAGATGACACGCAGACCACATATCGCTTCAGAGAGCTGCTGAACATGTTTGCTACAAACTTAATTGAGCTTGATGAAGACGAACTCAAAGAAGGGGAGAACTACAAACAAGACCATCAGAGCTACTCAAGGTAATCAGGAGAACAAGAACTCTTCCACCAAAGAATGAGAAACCTTGGGAAAACATAAGGATCACAGCCCCCTTCCAAGAGGAAATCTGAAAGCATATTTGGTGAAGACCTGAGAAGATCAAGAAGATTGATGAACTCAAAGCCCGAGGCCTTACCCATTAGAAAGGAAGGCAAGTCGGGGGACATCTTCATATGCTCGACAATAGATCAATGGGCCGACAACGCGAAATCCTCAACCATGATATCAAAACATGCAAAACTCCAATATGGGACATTCTAGATGTATCTGAAGGAGATCACGGTGGGATCAAATTCTCGACCTATAGACTACAATGCACAGATGGATAAGAGTTTACCTGTCAAGAAAATGACTTCTTTATGCTCAAAATGGACGACATATATCAAATGTCAATGCCCTACACGAAGCTCCCCATAAGAAATAACCAAATGATGGAAGAAGGCTATGATGCAATGAAAAGATTCATGCTAAGGCAAGCTCGAGTTCAGGCCACTCACGATCTTCAAATGGCCCTGCAAAACAACGTTCCTAAGGCAAATCTCACCAGGCCAATACTATTCGGACCAGAGCTCGAATAATTTCCACCTCTCCATATTTTTGACGAGCCTGTCGCGACAGTCTATCTCAACCATGAAGAGAAGAAGCGCCTAGTGGTGATTGATGAGATTGTCAAATATTGTGACAGGACACTGAAGATCATCAGAGATAAATTGCTTCCGCTGAAAAATGATAGTGAACAAAGACTTGACGATGCTACTAAAGAAGAACTGAAAGAATTCGACAGAATGACCAAGGTGCTAGACGCAATCAGTGAGCGACTCGAGAAATGAAGACCGCTGCGCCAATACGACCATGCTCTAGCACTGAGGAAACACTACTTCAAGAGGCAATAAACAATAAGAGCTGAAATTAGGACATCTAATCAAAAAGGAGAGAATGTTAGGGACATTTATGTTGTGATCAATGTTTAATTATTATATGCCTCTTGTTGTATTTAATATTGAATAGAATAGACTAGAATAGAATAAAGGTGCAGAGGAATATTAGGGCTACATCAAATAATGGCCCAATAATTGTAATGACCTACCCATTCCCTAGGGTATAAATATGCCTTTAAGGGAACATAGAAAGTTTATACGCTACATTTGCTTATCATTGTAAAACTTTCTCCTTTAATGAAAGTCATTCTTATTCACATTTGAGAGCTCCATTTCATAGTTTCTTTAATAGAAAACACGGACCTAACAATTACAAATAGTGAATTTAATTTTATTAAGATTAAAAAAATCAAAGAATGTTATTTAAAAAATGTAACAATGTGTTCGGTATAATATTTCACAGAAAGACTAAAATGAATATTTATGAATTTGAAGTGTTTCATTTATAACGGAAAAATAACAATTTTGCAATTTGAAATTAAAGAGTTCATATTTTAACATAAAAATAAATCTTTATTTTTAACTATTTAATTTTTTTATTTTTCAATTTCAAATTTGTTTTTAGTGTTTTTAATTTATTTATTTAAGTCAATAAAAGTTAATTTACTTCTTTATAGGAACATAATGAGTATTTTTGCACATTTTAAAAGTTTAGATGTATACGTGCATTTCTACTTAAATTAGTAGTGATATATTTATTCTCAAAATAGGAGTACACCATGTTTTAATTTTTACACGATGGTCATGCATATAAACACATTACTTATGAAATAAATTAATTTCTGTCTATAATGCGTACGTTTTTCTTCCCTTTTCCATTTTCTCAGAGGCTAGCTAACATTAGAGGCCTGTAAAAAAACTAACAATAGAGACAGCAAAACCACATGCGATATGAAGAAAACCATGATCTTGATCGATCTCTGCACTCCTGGAAATTGATTATTTTGTATATATTTCGATCATATCCGGCTCAATTTCTTTCCGGACAAACAACTATCTCTGAAAATTTGAAGTTCAGCAGCAAGAATTGTTTTTCTCTGTCCTCATTTTGTGCTTAGTAATTTGTAGGGATCTGCGTTTCTCCATGGCGTCTTGGCTCAAAGCAGCTGAAGGTATTATTCTTGTAAACATTGTTCTCAATTCACTGTCGGCAATGTATATTTCCTATCATACGTCTACGTAGAAATGTCCCCATTTCAATCGAAGTTGTTCTGTTACTTTGTGAAGAATCGGGTTTGAATCATTTTTGCCGTCAAATGTTTCATTGTGACAAACTTGCGAGGCATATGATTTTGGTATACTTTTTTTTAACTGTCAAAAAACATTAATTGTGTATACATGCTAACATGCATATATGCATGTTCACTGAGAACAACATGAGTGTATATTTCTTCTAAATCTAATGTTAATATACTCTGTGTTACGCTGTACACATAAGAGTGGCAACTCACTGGCAGTTACCCGTGAGAAGAGGAAAACCACAGCCCTCCCAAATTACGTGATTATTTGTGCAATTAGTGGAGTTCATGTAATGACTACTGCAGTAATGGGATTGTGTGACCTAATATGTAGGAGGTAGTTATTTCTATTATGTATTTGTTGATCAATCAAAGAAAAGAGGGCAAGACCCTTATTCTGAACTCTCTCGTAAGTCTTAAATCTCATTTCCCCTCTCCTTCCAAAACATTCTTTCCAGAGACTTCCACCCTCACATAGTAGAATAATGAAACATAGTACCAAATCCTTAACAGTTTGATGCTTTCGTTGAGAGAACAGCCATGGATAATGAAGGAAAATCAAACCCATTACTGAGCCCTTAAAGAACAGGTGCAACAAATGCGTGAGAGCAACCAGAAACCTGCGTATGAGCTGTGTCTAGCCTTGGTGGCACAAAAGCGGGTCCTTACGGCAGGAATAATTGACTTGTCAAACTGAGTCAATAATTCCACAGCAACATCCGCCCCCATTCCCTCCTCTTCCTCACCAATGACACGTTCAAATCAGACGCCGCCATATAATAACCAACAACCACAACCGATGAGGTGTGATATATCTACATTTGACGGAGCTAATGTCTTGGATTGGCTATTCCAAGCAGAAAAATACTTTGAATTTTGGGAAATTGTAGAAGAACAAAGAATTGACATTCTTAGTTTCTACATGGTTGGTTAAGCACTATCATGTTATCAATGGATGCACAAAAACAGTCAAATGTCATCTTGGAGGGCTTTAACCATCGCCATGGAACAGAGGTTCGGCCCATCAACAACTTGACATATGTGAACCATTGTATGACACTCTTAAACCTTACGGAGATAATGACGGTTGAGACTTATCAATCTGAGTTTGAAACCATAAGCAACGGGTAACCCAGCTTCATCTAGACGCAATATTAGATTGTTTTATCTCTGTGTTGAAATCCTTCATTCAGAGCGAGTTAGCTATCCTCCTTGAAACTATTGCCATGGCCAAATTAATAGAAGGTAAACAACAAGATTCCAAATCTTTCATCCCTAAGCCCAGCTCCTGGAGAACTCCTGCTAGTCAGAACATCACCCCCACTTTAGCCCGTACGATTAACCAAATTCCCTTGTTACCCCTCCCAACACTCCCAACTCAGATCCCAGATAAAAACTTCTCTGCCCATTAGAAAGTTAACTGCTGCAGTGTTGCAAAGCCGTCATGCCCAAGGACTTTGCTGTAATTGCGATGAAAGGTATCATCCTAGACATCTTTGTAAAGCCAAGCCTTTTTACTGCTGTTAGCGGATGAACCAGCTCGCAAAGAAGAGAACGAACAGAGCTCTGTCAAAGTTGCAAAGGTAGAGACAGAGGGAGCTTTGACAGGTCTGACCCTGAGAATTATTCTTCCATGTATTAGAATGCATCCAAGGACCATGTATGTTTTGCTTAACGGCAATCATCAAGAGTCAATAATTCACAGTGAGAAGCTCCCACATATCTCCAACAGTGCCTAGCGAACCATTTACACCTTCTGGCAGATAAATCAACCTGCTTTCATGTCGCCGTTAGCAACAGTGAACGAATTCAAAGTGAAGGAACATGTGCAAATGTAGCTTTCACTATGCAGGGAGCCAAGTTTCAGGCAAACTTCCACTTATTAAAGTTAATGGGAGCGGATGTCATTTTGGCAACTCAGATGTTGGATGGGCTTGGAAAATATTCATCGATCACTAATGGATGAACATGGAATTTGAATATAATGGGAAACATGTAAAAGTCGTGGGAATTCCCACCCCTGGTGCTACCGCTGTTTACTGTCATCAACTAATGACAACTAATGAGATTACATCGTAAAGGAACCATAAGTCCATAACCCAAAGCTTTTTACTCTTACACTAGCCCAAGTTACCCAATGCCTCTGAAATATGCCCGACTGACACACCAACCCCACTTGCTATACACGAAATCCTACAAGAATTCTGATGTATCTAGCCTTCCCCACATGCTTCTCCCTAACTGCCTATTCAACTACTACTATAACATTAACATTCTCCCTCATTCCACTTTAGTAAATGTGAAGCCATACCGTTACCCTCATTTTCAAAAAATGAAATTGAAAGACTTGCCTAAGAGATGTTGAAGGGTGACATTATACGATAAACCATCTACTAGGCCATTTTCATCACCCGTTTTGCTGGTCCCCAAAAAGACAGAACCTGGAGATTTTGTATTGACTATCGAGCTCTAATGCCATAACCATCAAAGTTTGTTTTCCCATGCCTATCGTGGATGAGTTATTGGACGAGTTACATGGGGCAGTGATATCACGCATTCTTGGTAATGCCGTGATATGGGTTATCATCAGATTCAGGTCAATCCTCCAAATGTTTTGAAATGGCTTTTATAACCCATGAAGGTCATCACGTATTCTTGGTAACGCCGTTTGGGTTGACTAACACACTTGCGACATTTCAAGCCACCATGAACGCGTTCTTTAAACCATTTTTGCGGAGGTTTGTGTTGGTTTTCAAATGAAATCCTTGTGTTCAGTTGCTCTCTCACATATCACCTTCACCATTTGCATATTGTTCTCACCACACTTCATCAACATCGTTTCTTCGCCATGCAAGACAAATTTAGCTTTGAAAAAGAAAAACCTGAATATTTGGGCTATTTTTGTATTGTGTGAAGGGATAGCTGTTGATGCAGCAAAGATTTGTGCTATGACACTGAGACCTTCAATGGGGTGGTAATGACATAAAGGTGGCAACTCACTGACAGTTATCCATGAGAAGAGGAAAACTACAGCTCCTCCCAAAATGTGACTACATGTGCAATTAGTGGAGATCATATAATAACTACTGCCGTAGTCCTGTTAAAGTATTTGTCCCACACCGGAAGACTATAAAACAATAAAACACTATAAGGCTTTGAGCTACTCCTCATATCAGGTTGACCTTTTAAGATGGAATCCCGGGTCTTAACATGGTATCAAAGCCAAATCCGGTTGTGGTTTGACTGCTTGTTAAACACGCATAATTAGGGGTAGCTGTGGATGCAGCAAAGATTTGTGCTATGACACTGACACCTTCAATGGGGTGGTAATGACATAAGGGTGGCAACTCACTGACAGTTATCCATGAGAAGAGGAAAACCACAGCTCCTCCCAAAATGTGACTACATGTGCAATTAGTGGAGATCATATAATAACTACTGCCGTAGTCCTGTTAAAGTATTTGTCCCACACCGGAAGACTATAAAACAATAAAACACTATAAGGTTTTGAGCTACTCCTCATATCAGGTTGACCTTTTAAGATGGAATCCCGGGTCTTAACATGGTATCAAAGCCACATCCGGTTGTGGTTTGACTGCTTGTTGAACACCCATAATTAGGGGTAGCTTGTTAAGGGTTTGTTTGGCCCATTTATACACCCCGATATTGTCCAGCCCGTTTCGGAGTGAGGGGGAGCGTTAGAGTATTTGTCCCACACCAGAAGACTAAAACAGTAAAACACTATATACGGCTTTGGGCTACTCCTCCCATCAGGTTGACCTTTTAGGATGGAATATTGGGTTTTAAGAGTGCCGTAGTGGGATTGTGTTACCTAATATATTGGAGGTAGTTATCTATTCATGTATATATGATGATCAATGAAAGAACAGAGGGGCAAGACTCATATTCTGAATTCTCTCATAGGTCTTAAATCTCATTTTCCCTTTCCTTCCAAAACATTCTTTTTGGAGCCCCCCACCCTCACATATTGGAATAATTCAACATAGTATCAAATCTTTAACACTTTGTTCACAGTAGATCATATATTGCCCTGAATGTATGTTTCCTTGAAATACTGATTGAACTTTTCCAATTTCCCTTTTTCTCCCTTTATTGGCCACTTGGCGTTAAGCATAGTGATCCTTTTTGTTAGCTTTATCATGACTGCACAGTGGACACTGTTGTCTATCGCTTTTTGTGTTGCCATGGGGTGGGGTGTAATGCTTTATTGCCTGCACAGGATGTTTTTAAAGCAAAGATAAATTCACTTAATTGGCTCTTGTTAACAGCAGATGAGAATTAAAGTGGTGATATGCAGCAACTAGCAGGCCATTTATTTTGTTGATATGCTATATATTCATGTATAATGTATGGAAAGCATTTATGCGTGAATCTTAACTAAATCAAGCCTTCTTCTAGGAACTAAAATTGTGGTTTTGGTACATCAGATCTGTTTGAAGTCGTTGATAGGAGGGCAAAGCTTGCTGCTGGCGAGAAGGGAGACGAGCAGCCCAGTTCTCATGCAACAGGTTTTCTTTCATGCTTTATGATTTATAAGTGTTGCTTCTAAGAGTGATTTTACAGATTTTTACCTCCGAACTCATAATGATTACTACATTGTTCTCCATGGCATATTTAGATTTTAGGCTTTAGCAATATGGATCTTATATTATTATTATAACACTTCGTGATGTGTGTGGGAAATAGTACTAGTCATTTAATATAATTTTTTGACTCAAAATTTGTTCTACAAGGATCACATTATATAAATTTTAGAATCATGAAATTATTTATTTTCACTAAGTGATTCTAAAATTTAAATGAACAAAAAAACATTAATAACAACTAATCTAACTGGACTATGATTTTACATTGAACCAATGTAGAAAATTGCTAAGCATTTTGATTCATCAAGATCGAATTTTGTTTATATGATAGTGGGACTTCCTAATTTATTCAATATGCTTTTTTGAGTTGTATTAAACATATTTATCCAATCATTAACCTGCATCTTCTTTATGAAGCAGCTGTCAGTCCATGCAATTTTGGACGGGATTTTCACTATGGGTCATCCGGAAACGGTCTCTCTGTGCTTTAGTACAGGGGTAAGACTGCGTACATCTGACCCCCCTTACCCCACCGTAGGTGGGAGCCTTTGCAGCACTGGAGTAAATGAAAATGAAATGATTAACCTGCATCTTCTCTAGGTAGAACCGTAGAATATCAATTGCCTAATAGTGCTGTCTGAATTGGTACCTTTTCATGTTTCATTTAATCCCTTAATTATTCAATAGTTTTCCTGAGTTATATTAAATGTATATCCAGTCATATATATATATACAGTCATATATATATGAAATACATCATGTCAACTTAGATGGGGGCTTATCGTTTACAAGTAGGAACACTAAACAATAATACATACAACAACAATAAAACCTTAATCCCAATTTAATGGGGTTGCTCTGTGAAAAAAGTCCGCTGAGGTAATCTGCCGAAATCTTCTGTTTCCACTATTTCCTATCGTGCACCATATACACATCTAGACCCAACACTCTGAGATCCCTCTTTAGTGTTTACACCTTCATTCGGAGTCATTTCCAATCTGCCCCTACTCTTCTTTGAGTCCCCACCCACTCTCCGCACCGAAGCACTTACTTCTTGATGGGCGATGTGCCCCAGCCAACACAACCGGTTCTCTCTTACTTAATAGTGTAGTAAAATGCGAGTGTCTCAGCAATTAAGGGCACAAGGAAGGCACAAAAGAATCTCAGCATCTTAAACATCAACAGGTGCGGTGTTCCTCCTTAGGCACTTCCGGCGCACACGACATTTTTCTGAGTAGGCATGTCAAAAAAACCAGGCCCGTAGAGACCCGCCTCGCCCCGAGACATTTGAGGCGGGTCCGCTCCACCCCGTACATACAATGGGGCGGGTCCGGGTATTAGTATTGACCCGTGCCGGCCCGCCTCGCCCCGCCCCGCCCCGCACAATATATAAATAGACACATATATGTATATGTGGTTGAGTAGTAATTAATGAATTCCTTGATATTTAATATTTATATTTTGAACTAGATGAAAGGTTAATTGTCGATTTTTTATATTTAGCATTTATATATTCATTTATTCATAAATAAATAGTTAACTATTTTAGTCTATATTATTTTTTCTTATTTTTTGAATTTTTTTTGGTATTGTGACATTGATTTATTATATTTGTTTTTTATAATCATTTGAAGATAAACTTTATGTACAATTTAAGCTATAATGACTTCACATTTCAAAAAACTAGAAATGTTAACTAGCTATAGATTATTGGGTCATGGGTCAACATCTAATAATCCGTGCGGGTAGCGGGGCGGGTCAACGTAGTTATGTCACGGGGCGGGGGCGGGTCCTGCACTACCCAGCCCGCCCCGCCCCATTGGCATGCCTAGTGTAAAAAGTCTAGGTGCGGAGCTCTGTTGTACAGCGTTCACCTGCCGGAGGTAGCGAAGACTTAATGTAGAAGTGTGAGAAAAATAAATTGTGTCGGTAGGAAAACAGGAGAAGCACGATGATTCATCATGTGCGAAACAGAGATGATAGTAGAAAAAAGGTACCCATTTGGGGTACCCCATTTTTACTCCTATTGTGTGGCTCAGATGGGGCAATTCATTTAAGTGGGATAACTCATTTAAATGATTGGCTCATTTGAACCACACAATGGGTGGAGTAAAAATGGGGTACCCCAAAATGGGGTACACCAAACAAGACTCATGATAGTACACTCCTCTCTATTTTAAATATTGTTATAATAGGATTTGCTACATTATTTAAGGAACAAAAAAACAAGAGTAGAATTGAGTGTTTCCGAAGAAAAACATACCAAAAAGGGGAAAATGAATTAAAAATTAAAAAACATCTCAAAAAAGAAAGTGTACTAAACATTTAAACACGGAAGAGCATATTTATTAAAAAAGTTGACTAAAATTACTCTAATCATGTAATTTATAGTCATAAGTATAACTCTAAAAATTTAACATAATCTACTACATTTGTCTCATGGCCAAAGTCATAAATTATATGGTACAATCGGTTGTATCATGCACACGGTGCAACCGGATAATTTAACTCATACCTAATGTATATATGTAAAGAGTAGTATTCCGGTCAGGAATTTCTTGACGGAGCCCCGTCCGGCCACCTCGTTTTGAGGTGGTTTCCGGTGATATTTTGTGCTCAAATTGTTTGAGCATGTTCCTCATGAAGTGTACTTGATCTCCACCAAATTTGAACAAAAACAATCAATCGGGAAGGCACTCAAATGATATTTGGAAGATAACTGCGCCAAAATATACATATAAAAACACAGTTATCTTCCAAAAATCATTTGACTTCCTTCTCGATTGAATTTTTTGCTCAAATTTTGTGGAGATTATCTACACTTCATGAAGAACATGCTCAAAAAATTTGAGCAAAAAATACCGCCGGGAACCACCTCAAAATGAGGTGGCTGGACGGGGCTTTGGTTAGGAAATTCCTGACCAGCATATTTGTGTATATGTAAAATGAAATGAGTTGTCTGATTCAAAATCAGATAACTCTGATTATCTGATTTGTTTTTGTTAGTTAGGAAATTCCCGACTACCAGATGACTCTAAGTCATCTGGTCAGATTTGTTTTTGTTAGTTAGGAAATTCCTGACCAGAATATTTGTGTATATGTAAAATGAAATGAGTTATCCGGACGGGGTTTTGGTTAGGAAATTCCTTCAAAATACCGCCAGGTCCACCTAGTTGTGTCACGAGGCGGGTCCGGGTCATGCACTACCTGACCCGGCCCGACCCATTGCCATGCCTATTTCTGAGGCATCAGGCTATGGCTTTTTAGTACGTTCCAGACACTGTTTCCTTTTCTAGGTGATCGGTGTCTATTTTATTTCCAATATGTTAAGGCATCAGCCCATTTCCATTATCAAACAAAATATCAGGGTGAAACCCCTTTCGTTTATGTATCCTCTCCTCTTCAGGTAGAGTGTTCCATCATCCATACCAAAGTCTTGTTCTCCTTTTGTTTATTTTCTGTTCCAGGCTTAAGTCTTCCATTGCATTTTTAGTCTTTTTTTACCTTCTTTCTCTCCCTCTCCACTGTGTCAGACGCATCTAACATAAACAAATTTTGTGCACAAATTTATATCCCTCATTCGTTGTGTACTAATCAACTTCTAAAATCAGATTTAGAGGTATTTTATAAACTGCAAAGCTTTACATTTGATTGGGCATTCTGACAGTGAGATTGTAAATCAGTAAATGAGAAAAGTAATTACATTCTTTGATCAAGTGCCGGATCTCTTGCAGTAATCGCATATTTCCCCTCTTCAAAATTCACCCGTGCAAGACATTATCTTTTTACTTTTATATTTTTAACAATAAATAAGTTCAGCTGGTTGAGATGCACAGCCTGGACTTCATGTAACTCAATAGATGGGAAGTAAGGACATAGTGGAGGCTCCTATTGCTGGAGCTGAGAGTGCCCAAGAATTTCTGGATACACTATTTATTGAATGAAATTGGATTGAAGACACCCATGTCTGCTAAGTTATGCTGCGATAACCAAGCTGCTATACACATGGCGAGTAATCCAATATTTCATGAGAGAACAGTAGAACACAACATATTGAGGTTGATTGCCATTTTATTCGGGAGAAGATACAAAAAGGACTGATCTCTACCTGATATGTGAAGACCGGAGAACGACTTGGAGATTTATTTACTAAAGTACTAAATAGGATTCGAGTGGATTACTTATGTAAGAAGTTGGGCATGATAAATATCTATGCTCCAACTTGAAGGAGGGTGTGAAAGATATTAGAGTAAGTGTGGGAATATGCTTTAAAATATTTTAGGAGTATACTCTAGGATATGGTATTGTATAAAATCTTATATATGAATATTCTATCTTTTTAATCTATATTTATATTTATAGGGACTTAACCCTCCAATGTAATATACATGCTTCCCTCTTCCATATTATTCTATCACAAGTCTCTGAAACCGAAACCGCGCTCTTCTCCAAAAGCTTGTGGATTCCTACTTCAATGGGATTGGCTAAATGAACTTGTTGAAAATCCATGATGGTCTTCCACTAAAATCTTCTTTAGGTTCTTATTGTCCTGCACCATATGCTCATTCAACCCCAATGCTAGGAGATTCCTCTTTACACTTTCAACCCAAGTCATATTTTATCTACTTTGACTCTTCTTGAATTCTCCTGCACTTCAAGACTCCAGTACTCCACTGTACGTACTGGAATACCTACTTCGCGAAAGCTGACATGTCCAAGCCAACACCACTGGTTATCCTTTACTTTATCATCCGTAGTTAAATGGTTTGCGCCATGTCCCTAACAATTGTCAATTTAGCTTTTTGGCTCATTACATGAGGACTTTCCATCATTTTCAATGGAGCCAAAGGCTCACTATTTTTTGGCTTGGGAATATGATGGAATAAAGCAAAATGACTCACTAAACTGTCTGCGCTTCTTTGTTATGAAGTAACGGTCAGCCTATGCAATTTTCGGCGCGATTTTCACTACGGGTCATTCGGAAACAGTCTCTCTGTGCTTTAGTACATGGGTAAGACTGCGTACATCTGACCCCCCTTACCCCACCGTAGGTGGGAGCCTTTGCGGCACTGGGGTAATGATGATGGCTCATTACATGAGGAATATAACGGAAAATTATATTTAATGCATCAATGGTGAATGAAGGGACTGGAACAAGTTGACTTTTTCAATGAAAGTGTGTTTTAAATTTATAAATTTAGCACTTATCAATGGGCTCCACAATGTTATCAGAAATCACTCTCCAGTGAACTAGATCATGTCATTTAATAAATTGCTGAGCAAAAAACTTATAGCAGAAGCTTAGACTTAGCAGCCTAAAGTTTGTGCACTGCATTAGTAAATCCTATTGCATGTGGCTAATTGTTTTCTCTTACTATTTATGGTTCAACTACTAGTGTCCAATGGACAAGGATCACAACCAAAGAGATCAAAGCCGAAAAAGAAGGTAGCATTCAGATTTAGTCAGTACTACTATTTTTTGAACCAATATATTAACATTTTTGTCTCCAGATATGGCTGAAAATAAGATTCTTTGCAGACTCAAAAGCGAGTTTCTTCCAATGAAACTTCAGGTGCATTTGCTACTGAAAGGGTATCAACTCACAAAGAAATGCCAGAATCAGATACAGCTGCAGGCAGAGATAAGGCAATTCCGTTTGTTGAAAATAGTCGGACACTTCTAGACAGTTCCATTGACAAAGCTGCTGATAAAGAGAACCCAATTGTGGATGTGGGTGATGCTTCATTGGATGCTCCTTTATCTGAAACAATCTCTAATAGTGAACTAAATGTTACAAGCAGTAGTTATAGCACGGAAGCCGATGGAAGTGATGTAAACACTGTACCCTCAAAATTAAATGAAAAGCCTACAAGTGAAAGCATATCAGAAGTTCATGAAGGGACTCTTCCACAACATCCTGCTAGTGTTGTGGATGATAATACCTTACAAAATGACGGACCAGTTGAGTCAAGCCAATCCATTGCCCTTGATAATTCTGAATCACCTAAGAGCAATGAGCATGACAGACTTCAATCTGCAAGTGGAGATGATCTTGGTAAAGTTCATAAATCAATGGAAGAAACTAATTCCAAGGCTGAAAAAGGTTCAGACCTAAATAAGCTCCCAGTACAAAAAACTACTACTACTTTCAGTAAAGTGGAAGAACAACTTGATGAGGTAAAGGATACAATAATATTAGATGTGGGTTGATTCAAGTATTTGTCATTTAAACAACTTTTTAAAATGTATGTATTTGCTCAGGCTCAAGGCTTGCTTAAAAGTACAAGTTCTACTGGCCAGTCAAAGGAAGCTCGGTTGGCTCGGGTATTTCACTGTGTGTTAGATATACATTCTAGAATAGTATATTGCACTTAATTGTAATAATCTGTGTTTGTTAGAGTCGGTTAGAGTTGGTTAGTAGTCTGACCTAACTGATTCTATATATATCTTGTAATGCTGCTTCAGAACAAGTTAAGTAATAATAAGCTTCTCTTCTCTATATCCTTTTGTACGATTTCTATTACTGTGCAAGAGCATTTTAAATCATTTGTCCCAATTCATGATAAAACTATATGTTTTATGCTACTTCCATATTCAGACACAAAGTATTTGCTTGTAAAATGATACTCCCTCCGTTCCTATTTTATCTTCCAAATAGATTTGGCACACAATTTAAGATAGTGGGTATTGTATGGTGGAGAGTTGTGCAGAGGAGAGAGAAATGTGTAAGAAATGTTGTGAACCACAAATTCTTTACTAAAAAGGGAAAGTGGAAGTTTTAATTGGAACGGACGAAAAAGGAAAGTTGGAAGTTTTAATAGGAACGGAGGGAGTATATTGAAATTTATTCCGTTATCACTACCTTTTATTTATCGTACTATTGTATTTGAAGAAAATACAAACTTAGGATGATTGGAAATGTGTATAGTATATTATAGAACAATCAAATTGGTTCTTAGTGTTACAGTATCTAAGAATGAGTGTGTTATATTATTTGACTTTTGGCATATCGTGTTTGCTCTATCATTTCAAAAGGCAGAGAAAAACTATAGTTAATGATGGTAAGTAATACTTGAGAAAATTATTTACAATATGAATGATGCGGAACCTTGCCCACTAGGTGTGACCCTATTATGATATCCATGAGCTCCATTTGCAGAAAAGTCTATTTCAGCCGTTACTGAACTTCATCATGCTAATTTGATCAGGTATGTGCTGGCCTTTCATCACGTCTTCAGGAGTACAAATCTGAAAATGCTCAGTTAGAGGAGCTTCTTCTTGCTGAGGTAATTTTTTAGATTATTTGATTGCTGGTAGTAGTTCATTGTTCATCGCAGAAGTAGCAAGCAATACATTCTCTTCTTTAATATGACACCATTCTATGCTCTTTACTTCTGGTCTGTTATAACAGAGAGAGTTGAGTAAATCTTATGAGACTCATCTGAAGCAGCTTCAAAAAGATTTATCTGCAGCAAGAAATGAGGTGTCTAAAGTGGAGTCAAGTATGACAGAGGCACTCTCTGCTAAGAATGCTGAAATTGAGTCTCTTGTTAGTTCTGTGGATTCATTAAAGAAGCAAGCTGCTTTATCGGAGGGTAATCTGGCGTCTTTGCAGGTTGATTTCGGCTCCTACTTAAACTTTAAATAATAAATTGCTTTCTTGTTGCCTTTTGTTCTGACCTGTATAGTCCCAACCACTCTACGTCTCTTTGATATGCTGCTGGTCTTTTACCTTGTCAGGCAAATATGGAGGCTCTTATGAGAAATAGGGAATTGGCAGAGACAAGGATGATGCAAGTAAGTCAATCTCTCCATATTTCATGTCAATTCACTTATTTGAAGTAATCTTCATTTTATCAGTTATTTTAAACTTGTAAGTTGTAACTCTTGTCGTCATATCACCTTACTCCTAAGTACCGACTATGTCGGTACTCGGTATTTCAACCGTATAACTCTAATAATAATAAAATCTATGATTCGTTAGGCTATAAGAGAGGAGTTGGCCGCCGCCGAGCGAAGAGCTGAAGAGGAGCATGCATCACATAATGCTACCAAGATGGTTAGAACCCAAACACTTCGACCTGTCTTAAAGTGATTGTGGGGCATTCTATTGATATATAGTTTTAAATAGTATTTGGATTTTACGTTTACTTAGTTTGCTTCATTTAAAGCAAACAACGAGGTTACAACACTTGAGGTTATATTAGTATTTAGGAATCACTTAAGGTAATATAATAAAAATGAAGTATCTAATGAAATCTTGAAACTTCACAGACAAATCTAACACCACCACCATCAAAATAGTAAGTTCAAGCACTGCATAACAATATAGCATCAAAGAGAAAAAACCTTGGGCAGCTGTTCATAATTGCAGAAGTGAAGTTGAACTGATGAGTAGTGCAGCCCTCTCTCAAAATTTTAAAGCAAAATTAGGATTTTGAAAATGTGGCACAGTTGAATTCTAATCTGCAAACTATTGCCTAAGCCTCAATGCATTGCACAAGAGCCATAAGCGCCAGCCATATATTGACATTGCTGGTTTTAAGCATAGCCTCATTGCACATTTTGGTAATCACTGAGGTATATCCACATTGATCAACTGGTATTATTGCTTCCGCCCACTGGACCATAGTTTAATCAGTGTGATGGGGCTGAATCTCTGAATCTGTAATGATGACTCCTTTAATGTTAATTCTATAACAGGCAGCTATGGAAAGGGAGGTTGAACTAGAACACCGTGCTCTTGAGGCTTCCACTGCACTGGCCAGGACCCAGGTACTTTTTCAGATGCAATTGTTAACCATACACTTTGCTGATATTAAATTCTCAAGTTCAATCTTCTAAGAAGTAAATTGTGAGTGGAGGGCTGGAGGTCATCATTGCAATAATCATGTTCCTTTGCAAACACATAGGGTTATATCGTATTGGAACCGCTGGAATTATTTCTAACAATTGCTCAGAAAACGTGATGAGCCTGTCAGTTTTTGGTGATGTTTGTCATCAGTGTTTTTGTGTTTCTGGTTTGTGGGGATTGAATCCACTCTGGCTTGTCATCAGTGTTTTTGTGCTTATGGTTTGTGTTTCCAATACTCTTGTCATTTTGTATTTAATCCCCCTATATCATTTTTTCAAACCAAATATGAAACTACTTTTTGAATATGCATGAGTTTTATGAGTTTGTGGTTGCTACTTTTTACAAATGATTCCCTTATTAGACTGCCTCTTGGTCCTCAAAATAGATACACGTAATTTTGTTTGTTGTTTATCTTCAGAGAACAGCAGATGAAAGAATGGCAAAGGCAGCAGAGCTTGAGCAAAAGGTGGCACTGCTTGAGGTATAGTGACATGAATCATATGATAATTCATTTGATCTCATGCATAGTTACTTAGTTAGTTGCAATTGAGATGATAGCATTCTTTTTCATCCATCTATATTTTACTCATTTACTCCATATGCATTGTGTTGTCTTTTTCTTTTCTAAAAGAAAAGAAAAATGTGGACATTAATTTTGTGTTGTCTTTTTCTTTTCTTTTAATTCAACCTATGCATTGTGTTGTCTTTTTCTTTTCTTTTAATTATATTAACTTTGTGGACTTTTTTGAATTTTGAATAACCGATTCACCCATACTATGATATTAATCTATTACTGTTTTTACTTCTATTACTTCTTAATTACCCTTGCTACTACTTAAAACGGATGATGATACTCGTAATGCTCTGTACCGTTTTTCCTAACACTACACTCATGCTTGCATAATTTTCCAAACATGTGGAGAACATGTACATTTACTATATATAAAGTTCATCCAAAATAGGTTGAGTGTGCCACCTTAAATCAAGAACTGCAAGATATGGAAGTCCGTGTTCGTCGTGGACAAAAGAAGTCTCCTGAAGATGCAAACCAATCAATTCAGGTCTCTGGGTGGCTACATTGTTTTTGTTCTTCATACTGTAACAGCGAAACTATAACCATTTATTAACTTTGATTCTTTATATCTTATTCTACGGAGTAAATAACTTTTTACTCATGCTGCTGCTTTAAAATATCCTGAAATGAATTTGCATTTTGTCATCACTTAAATGCTGTAACAGTGAAACTATAACCATTTATTAACTTTGATATTTTATATCTTATTCTAAATAACTTGATACTCATGCTGCTGCTTTAAAATATCCTGAAATGAATTTGCATTCTGTCATCACTTAAATCTTTACGATTTGTTAAAGCAACCGACACTATATAATCAAACATCAAGTTTAGACTCTATGTTGACTACAAATCTCTTAAAAAATAACTTTTTGAATTTAAGAAAGATATTTATGATACTGAATTCCTATACGAACCCACGAATTTAAACCCACAAATTTACTATACAATCTTCTCGATAGCATTTCTAGAAGTGGTAGAGCTCTCCTTTAGTGACAGTTATGCTTCCTCATCTTGTACTAGTTAATGCTATCCTATATTCACATTATTTGGTAAAGAATGTATTATTTTTGTCTACCATTTTTCTAGAAAAGTTGCATGCAACTTCGTATCTAGTTAGCTTAACAACAATTTGAATTATAATATGTGATACTAAACTTTCATTTTTTAAAATAAAGTTGCAGGCATGGCAAGAAGAAGTGGAGCGTGCCCGCCAAGGTCAAAGAGAGGCAGAAAATAAGCTTGCTTCAATGGAGGCAAGATTGAACTTCCATTATAGTTTACCTTAAAATTACTAATTAATTAATCAATTAATGCATCATAATATAACAATATTACAATTTTCGTGGAGAATGAATCACATACGGACTTTAAGGATCTCATAATATTGGCTTTTAGGCTGAAATGCAAAAGCTGAGGGTTGAAATTGCTGCCATGAAAAGAGATGCAGAGCATTACTCTCGTCAAGTAAGATAACCATCTCCACACTATTTTGTTGATGTTTAATTTTGTTTTGTTCAACTCGTTTCACCACCCACTCTAACTCTTGTTTGGCTAATCATGTTCTCCTCACCTGTTTTATCAGATTGATTAACTAATAGAATGTATAACTTGAACAGGAACATATGGAGCTAGAAAAACGGTATCGTGAACTGACTGATCTATTGGTATTTACTTCAAACTTCAAAGACAATATCCTGTATGGTCTATTCTGTAGATTCTATATTTAATATCTAGTGAGTTTATTAGTTGTCGAACTTTCTTGCAGTACTACAAACAAACACAGCTTGAAGCAATGGCCACTGAAAAAGCTGCTGCAAAATTTCAATTAGAGAAGGAAGCAAAGCGCCATCAAGAGGCACAGGTCTGTGGCTTTTCTTTTTAAGCCTCTCTTTTGGGAAGGCTGGTGTTGATTCAGAAATGAGTTTGTTGCCATAAAACAGTTAGAAGCTGAACACAGCAGGGTTTCTCGCCGAGCATCAACTTCTTGGGAGGAAGAGTCTGACATCAAAACTCTTGAGTATGTTTTCCTTAACCCTTTGTAAATGGATATTCTTGGACATTATCTCCCCTTAATACACGGACATGAACATTATACTGAGTTTTAATTTCGTCACAAAATGTAGAAAAAATGGTAAATAACTCAGATCGACGTTACCTAAAATATTACCAAGTCATACGAGAATAATCATCAACAAAAGTAAAAAAATATTTGAAACCAGATTTGGACACAAGTACACAACAAGACAAACCCACCCAAGCATCAGAATGGACAAGATCAAAAGGAGCATTTTCTCGTTTATTAATTCGAGGAAATAACTAGTACGATGGTGTTTCGCAAATTGACATGACTAACATTATAAAGATGACACCTTATTACACTGAGGATATATTTGCTTCATTAGTGGGAGAGATGAGTGTCGTCATTGGTAATGAGCTTCCAACAATGTTCCAAGACAATATATGCCTTTTGTGATTGATGTATCCAAAATATAGAGATCAGCCGACTCATGTCCTGTATCAAGTCTGCATCGTCAACAAATCTTGAATCACACAATATTCAAGGAAAAATGTAACAGGACAATCAAGGGTGCGTGTGATTTTACTAATGGAAAGCAGATTAAATGCAAAATTAGGAAGACTTAAAGTATGTGATAATGGTAATGTAGAAGTTGGGAACTTGGGATAACAGTAGCAGATTCGAGGAATGGCGAGATAGATCTGTTAGCTAAAGTGGCACTAGAAGTAAATATGAATGAAATGATGATAAAAAGTTAGGATTACCGGGTCTGTGACACTTGAGTCATTGACTCATTTCAAGAATGAGGAAATATTAATCCAAAGAGAGAGTAGTTGATCCATCAGATGAACTGGTAGCGGAAGTAACAAGAGCAAGTGTGCAACTAGTGGGGAGCAGTATGTGTGTGAGTCTGCGAGAGTTTTCATATCCTTGGCAAGAAAAAAGGATGCCCCCAACAGGAACAAATTTATTATCTCAAAACAAAAACACATGAAGCATCTTGACTAAGAGCTCTGCCGCTCGCTCCTCAAGCCTAATCCGACTCACAGCTCTGGTATAAGTAGCCTACTACCCCCAGACAACAACAAACAATCTCCCAGAATAAATGGAGCATGCCAGTCACAATCTTCAAGTATTTATAACAGTAGGTTCCAGGCAAATGCAAAGGAGATGAAATTTAAAATTTGAGAAAACCTGGTAAGAATAACGCCACTAGATAGAGGACACATAGGCAAGTCAGTAGGTGGTATGCGACGAAAATTCCGGCTAGTGACAAGACGTCATGCGCCGGTGTGTGCGGCGGTCAGTGTGAGCTGCGGGCGGCGCGTGTGCCCCAGGCGCTTTGATTTTGGGTGTCAGACTGTCATAGCTGGGTTGGCGGCGGTTGGCACACCATCTGGGTATGGTGGTGATATAAGGCGTGGCCTGAAAATTCCAAAGGTCTGGGACAGACCGTATAAGATGCTAACTTTTTTCTGGAAAATTAGCTCATTGCTATATAATTTTATGGTTTAATTTCCCCCCCTTATGGGTTTGATACAGTGATACCATGTTGAAATATAGAGTATAAACTAGAATAGTATTTGAAGAGAAAGGATTTTCCGTGTTTTTATTGAGGGATTTAAGTCCCTTTAAATATACATTACAAAGATAGAATATTCTTATAAAAATTTATACCACAATAATATCCTACACTCATCATTTTCATTTTCATTTACCCCAGTGCCGCAAAGGCTCCCACCTACGGTGGGGTAAGGGGGGGTCAGATGTACGCAGTCTTACCCGCTTTACAAAGCACAGAGAGACTGTTTCCGGATGACCCATAGTGAAAAGCGCGTCCAAGATTGCATGGACTGACTGCTGCTCCATAACAAAGAAGCGCAGACAGTTTAGTGAGCCATTTTGCTTTATTCCATCATAATCTCAAGCCAAAAAATAATGAATCTTTGGCTCCATTGCAAATGATGGAAGCTATATTCCTAAAATATTCCAAAGCATATTTCTATATTTACTCAAATATATTTCACAAGGTTTAATACTCAAATACAGCCTTGAGGCTTATGAGGCTATCATACGTCAATCGGTCAATCACTAGAGACAAGCCTCATAGCTCTCAAGAGGGGCGTAAGCCGCAAAGCTAGATTCATGTGCCTCCATTTGAGGCTATTCTTGCAAGAGTTTCTTTACTCAAAAGTCAAAACTTGATTTATGGCTTTATGCCCTATTTCAATTTGAGTTTGTGGCCTATACATGGTTTGATTTAAATGCAGTGACTCTATTGAAGGTGGTAGCAACGATAGGAGTACTGCAATACCTTCACTACTGCACAAGCACTCACACCCTTGAATCATACTCCGTATAATTATATAAAACGAGAAACAATTCATATGTGGACTTTGAGATGACATGAGAGCTTGAATCAAAGAATGGTCTTGTGTATGTCTTATTTAATGACAGAAATTACATCTTATTGTGGTCAATTTTCCATGCAAGGCCCAACTGTGTTTTTGTTTTCACCAAGGCTTTTTATAGTAGTCACTAAATGAGGCAAGGGGCTCTCGTGTATAACTATCCCTCTTCAATAATTACCATTACATTTCCCACAATCACTAAAAGGTAAAGAAGCAACTGAAATTGCTCATTTCAAAACTGGGGGAGAAAATCCGTGGTCACTAACTGAGGCAACCTCTACCTTGATCTTCCTCTCTTCAATAGTTATCATCACCTGTACCAAGATGTTAAGAAAGAAGGGCTGCAAGATCAGTGGTGAATTCGTAATTTGGGATAAACTATATGGTCTGCAATTGTTCATTTCAAAAATGGAGGCCAAACTCATTAAAATCAAGATACTTGAGGGATAAAAATGGACATAGTGAAACTATTATTGATTTAAAACTCAAATATTATAACTTAATAAATGGCTTTAAGTACTATTTCAATTCTAATGTAGAAAATGGAATGAGAAATTGACATCTAATGAGAACAGCTAACCATATTACTTATAAAAGTAGGACTACTATATTTAAAATGCTTCTATATATTTTAACTCTTAAGTACTTTACAAATTTCTTTCTTATGTTTGTGTTTGAGGTACTTTTGTTAGTTTATGGGGTAAATGGGACTTTCATGAAGTCAAGGGTCTGTCAGTTTTTTTCCATGTTTGTGTTCATTAATATAAGGTGTTTGAAGTGAATCTCCTTTTGAAATAATTGTTATCCGTTTTTTGCACCTCTTCTTTAATGATTACAAGTTTTCTTCTGTCATTAGTTTTTTTGTGTTGTTAGGGTGGTCATATATGCACATGCTGATCATTTTTTGCCTCTCCCAGTTATATTGTGAAATTGACTGAAGTCTCATTTAGAAAAAACAAATTGCAGGCCTCTCCCTTTGCATCATCGACATATGGCTGCAGCCAGCATACAGGTACATTTGATCTTTAAACATCTTCATCCATAACTGAAGGAAAACTGATTGTTTTTATTTTGTATTGAACTTTGCTATTCAGTTACAGAAGGCAGCTAAACTTTTAGACTCCGGGGCGGTCAGGGCTACGAGGTTTCTTTGGCGATATCCTACTGCTCGAGTTATCTTGCTTTTCTACCTGGTCTGAACAAAATCTGCTCTGTTACACACTTGCACTCCTATACTGTTGCTGATTGGTAAAATTAGAGTATAATGTGATTGTTGATGTGTGGTATAACAGGTCTTTGTTCATTTGTTCTTGATGTACTTGCTGCATCGTCTCCAGGTATATACTAAATATATTTACTTCAATTTTCTGACATTAGCCTCTTGCCCTCTTCCTTGATTTTTGTTATTATTCACCCTTTTAGCTGTCTCCATTTGCGGCATTTGCTTGTGTGAAATGATTTATTTTAGATATTATTCTCATTATAGAGAAAGTGCTTAATTGTAAAGTTGCTAGTGTTTGAAAATATAAGTGTTTATAAAAAGCAGTTGCATTGTATGGTAAAAAGTAATTGTTGGTTTATTATTCAGATAAAGAGTTTTTTCCATCATTTGCAATGGAGCCAAAAATTCATTATTTTTTGGCTTGAGATTATGATGGAATGAAGCAAAATGGCTCACTAAACTGTTTGCGCTTCTTTGTTATGAAGCAACAGTCAGTCCATGCAATTTTGGACGGGATTTTCACTATGGGTCATCCGGAAACAATCTCTCTGTGCTTTAGTACAGGGGTAAGACTGTGTACATCTGACCCCCCCTTACCCCACCGTAGGTGGGAGCCTTTGCGGCACTGGGGTAAATGAAAATGAAATTATTCAGATAAAGAGTTATAGAAAAGTGAAAGCAATTTGTGGTTTAACTTACAACCTTTAGCTTTAAGGGCATTAAATGAAAACACATATTTGAAAGCACTACTTTTAGCTTGGTTTGTAGGAAAAAGCACAAAAGTGCTGTTGTTTAGAGGCAAATGCTGTTTTATCAAACTACTCCCTCTGTCCGAAAGAAGAATTCTTTGTTGACGTTGTCTGTCATTTAAAATCAACAAAGCTAACTGCTCATGTGTTAAAATCAATAAATTAATTAGTCTCTCCAAAAAAAGTCTCATACATTTAATTATGATAATTTATTTAGTTAAATCAATAAATTAATTAGGATTGGAGACTTATAAGTTATAACTGTGCATTAAAAAACTAAGGCAAAAGGGTCAAATAGGTCCCTGTATCAATCGTGTTATGGGTAAAAAAGGTCCAATTTGCACCCCGAACCGGCAAAAAATGTTGAATTTATCCCAATGTTGAACCTTTTTAGAGTTGAGGGGGTTAATCGAGGAATTTGAACAAGTTGAGAGACTTATTTGAGCTTTTAGTTTCAACTTCATATGCACAGATGGCAACCAGACGGGTGACGTGGTGGGTGACTGGGTGTTTACCCGTAAAAATGAAACTTGAACCATTATTTACCGGTTCGGAGTGCAAATTGGATCTTTTTTTAATTCAGTGACTGAATTGAGCTAACACGACCGGTATAAGGGCCTATTTGACCATAGCCAAAAACTAATGACATTACCTTGTCAAAACTAGTTTCTGTTTTTGGGATAAATGCAGTATTTTTCATGCGCTTGTCTTGTTATTATTTTGTTACATGGAGAACAAAAAGCAAACTGATAGGCTGATAGCAATCCATTTTGGAAATAAGATTGAAGTTCCACCTTGGGCAATACATGTAATAAATCCATGAATTTAAGTGGCACATTTTTATTGAATGCATCATGTGAAATGAATGAGCAGGAACAAGCTGATACACTAGCAAACAATGAAGTTGCAATGTCAATGGGGCTTGTCAACCAAACCTTGCCATGATGCTCCCTGTTTACAGAGAGAAAGACAATTTGCATGCACATAGCCTGTTCTTCACAACCAGATATTAGTGGTAAAAAGCAATACATGAACAGATGGTTATCTTTCCTTAAAGAAACTATTGCTTCATTGTCAGTACTGAGAGTACACAATTGATGCAGCAAGTTCCTTACTGATGAACTGCTTCATACTTTGAGCTAACACGATGTGGTTTGTAGTTGGAATTTGTTGTAGAGTTACGCCTCTTGTTATATGGGCTGGTTAGAGAACTACCTATACGGATAGAGTCCTTTTCCAGCACGTTTTTTGGACCCCTATTTTTCTTGTAGTGTGTAAAGAGAGTGATGTATATACCAACCATGTAATTATGAAGAAAGGGTTTGCTTTCCTTTGAGCAGATTCTCTTTCTATTCCAGTGCTGTGCTTGCCATTTTATATGGAAACAGGGATTGCTTGCCATTTTATGTGGCGTTGGCGCGTCACATTTGAAAAGTTTATTAACTGGCCAAACAACCCAAAATAATTGGTTTCAATTTTCAAATGACGCTTAAGTACCCATAAGCAACGTTCACATAAGCAAGTTACATCTTGCATGGCAAAAGTTAGGGCTAAAGTCAGGTTCTTTCGCAGCAAATAATCAATTAGTCTCTCGGAAATTGTGAGTGCATATATAGGGGTGGACCTGGCCCGCCCTGGACCGGCTGGCCTTGGTCTTTGGTAGGCGAAGCCCTGGCCTGACTTGGTTAAATTCGGTTCTGGGTACCTGAGTGGCCGAGTGGTCTGGATGCGGTCCCATTCTATTTTATTTATTTATTTTCCCCTGTTTCCAAGTCAAAAGATAGCCGGTTTGGGATCGAAATACGGATTGGAACTGCCCGATTCAATCCCCTAATGGATGAACTGGATCGGGTAACATGCTTTGGTGGACTCTGGGCGGTCCTGGGCTTGAAGCAGATTTTTCGAACTCAGTCTGGTCCCAATTCCCAAACAGTGTCAGATCCAATTCTGGAGTGGGCTGGACCGTTGAATCAGATCCACCCTAAGTGCATATATTGTACATCTAGTTGTACAATGCAAACCGTATAGGCAGTCATGTGGTGACAATTTTGTATTTTTTGTTGAAAATTGTGACTTCTGCTAAATGAGTTTCATATCTATTTTGTTGAGTATGAGGAATTGAGGAGTCTAATATTTGCTTCATATTTTAATTCACTTTCTTGTATTTATGAATTTCAATATGCTAGTTCTGATGTAGTTTCATACTTTTGAAATATGTATTGAGATGAAAATCGTAAGCTCTCATAGTTTAGTAGAAAACAAATATAGAAATTACTCCAATCAGGACTAAAACTATGGCAAAAACTCAAAATAGGATTTACTATATTTTTCTTTTCAAAATAGGACCATATTAGTCCTATGGAAATATACCTATTTTTTCATTCCATTCTTACCCTTCCGATAAATATGAGTTAATTAAATGTTTAATTCAAAATAAATTCAAAAAAAAAAATCAAAAAATCGTAGAAAAATAATTAAAAAATTTATAAAATATTTATAAAACAAAAAATTATTATTTTTTTAAATTTTTTATTTTGTTTTGAAAAATTAATAAAAAATAGTAAAACTCCATAAAAATAATTAAAAAAATATGGATGCCTTTCCCACCGCCTGTATTACCTCCCTTCACCACCATCTCCAGCCGGCGAAAAAATGTCATTTTCCCTAAAAACTGTCATTGTTTTCTGAAAATGCCAAAAACATGACATATTTCTCTATAAGAATGCCAACATTTTCATTGTTTTCTGCTATAAATATGACATTCATAATGAACTTGACATTTTTTCCCCTGATGATTGGAGGTGGTGGTGCAGAGGGGGTAGAGGCGGCGGTGAATTTTATTTTATTTTTTTGAGTTTTTTTTTTAATTTTTTTAATTTTTTTTTTTTTTTTTGAAAAAAAAAACATAAATTAATTATTATCGAAATATTTTATTAGATTTTTAGTATTTTTTACGCATTTTTTATTATTTTTTATTATTTTATTATGAATTAAAACATTTAAATAGCTAGAATGGTATATTTGTCCAAGACACACATAATTAGTCCTATGAAAACATAGTTTGATTTTTGGTCCTATTTGTGCAAAGTGAGTGACTTTTAGTCCTATTTTGATAATTAACCCAAACAAATATGTATTACTTAATAATCTCAACTATTATCAGTTTGTCAGTCTGTCGTTAATAATCTCAACTATCGATTATTCCCGGGTAGTCCCAATCATATGGATTATTTTTTAAAAATAGTTCATAATCGGTTACAACCCGGTAAAACAGATCAATTTTAAATGCGAGCTATATGTAAACTATAAATAATCTCAACTATAGTCGATATTTTTTTATTAATCTCAATTATCAACTCTCAATTTTCAGAAAATATAGAAATATTTTTATAATTTTCCAAACTAAATATTTTAATCATGAAAAATATTTACAAAATTTTTACAAATGCACCAAAATTAAATAAAACAAATGTATTCATTTTTTATTTATTTTCACTAAAATTTCATGTTTTCCTTTTTCTAATTTATTTTTCACAGTTGTGTTACGAATTTTATGATTTTGCATTATTTTTCTTTATTCAAATTTACATTTTCTCTTTTTAAAAAGTAAGTTGTGATTAATTTTTTTACAATTTAGATCTATATTCTAGTTTAATCTAAAAACTTAAATTTTCTATTTATTTTCATTTTAGTATTTTTAATTTCTAGCAGTGTAACGATGTGAATAGCTTGCAATGATGATATTATCATTGTTATACACTTTTTCTACATTTTTTAACATGTCCATTATATCACTTAAAATTATAATATTAATACATTTCCATTAGAAATAGTCAAAACCCCCAAAGCCTATACCCCAAATCACTAAAATTAAATGATAAGCTATATAATATATTAATTTATAGAATATAATAACATAAAATAAATAAAAAAGAGAGAAACTAGAAATACTAAAATGGAAAAATGGAAAATTAATATATTTAGAATTAAGATATCATAAAACATAAATGCGAAGTAAAACTTTAATTTTTAGTGAGAAAATGCGGAGTATATCTTTTTTGTTTGTGTTCCCAATTACAACAACAACAACAACATCCAAGCCTTAGTCCCAAAAGATATTGGGGTCGGCTAACATGAATCGATACATGATATCACAACCAAAAGGAAAAGAAGGAATAAAGATAAAAAGATAAGCTATTATGAAAAGATAATATAAAAAAGATGACTATATATAAAAATGATAAAATAAAAAGGCTGCAAATAATGCATATATATATACAAGGATAAAAAAAACTAGGAAAAAAAAAGATGAGGGAAAAAGATTATCAAGATCACTCCTTCACGTGAATACCCGCCCTCCACTTAGTTCTCTCCAAAGTCATGCCCTCATCCAACCTCAGAAGAAGCATATCACTTCGAACTCCCCTAACCCACGTCTGTTTGGGTCTTCCTCTCCCTCTCTTCCCTGCCTCTTCTCCACACATCTCAACTCGCCTAACAGGTGCATCACTTGGTCTTCTACGCACATGACCAAACCACCGTAGGCGCGACTCCCGCATCTTGTCTTCAATAGGTGCTACTCCCACCTTTTGTCTGATTGTCTCATTCCTCACGCGGTCCTTCCTAGTATGCCCACACATCCAACGCAGCATGCACATCTCTGCCACACTCATCTTTTGAATGTGACATTGTTTCACCGCCCAACACTCTACGCCATACAGTAATGCAGGCCTAATTGCTGTCCTATAAAATTTACCCTTCAGTCTAGTCGGCATACCTCGGTCGCACAGAAATCCTGACGCACTCTTCCACTTCATCCACCCTGTTCTGATTCAATTGGATACATCTCCATCTAACTCATCGTCCTTCTGAATTATGGAGCCCAAGTAACGGAACATATCGCTGACTGATATCTCCTTACCATCCAGAGTAATTCCGCTATTACCACTACTTCTACCTCCACCAAACTTGCACTCCATGTACTCTGTCTTGCTCCGACTTAGTTTGAAACCCTTATTCTCAATGTTTGTCGCCATACTTCCAACTTTGCTTTAAGACCTGATTGCGTCTCATCAATCAATACAATATCGTCGGCAAACATCATGCACCACGGTATATCGTCTTGAATTGACTTCGTAAGTTCATCCATGACTATGGCAAATAAGAAAGGACTCAAGGCCGATCCTTGGTGCACTCCGATAGTAATAGGGAACTCTTCAGTCCTCCCTACACTAGTACGAACACTTGTAGTACAATCCTCATACATATCCATGATGATGCTGATATACTTGCGTGATATGCCTTTCCTAGTTAAGGCCCACCAAAGAACTTCTCGAGGTACCCTATCATATGCCTTTTCTAAGTCAATGAACACCAAATGCAGATCCTTATGAGCATCTCTATACTTCTCCATAAGTTGACGAAGAAGGTGAATAGCCTCAGTTGTTGAGCGACCAGGCATAAAACCGAATTGATTCTCTGAAATCTTCACAGTCGTTCGAAGTCTTTGCTCAATCACTCGCTCCCAAAGTTTCATGGTGTGACTCATAAGCTTAATCCCTCGATAGTTGGCACATTCTTGTACATCACCTTTATTCTTAAATAAAGGGATAAGAGTACTCTTCCTCCAACTCGTTGGCATCTTGTTGTTTCTCCAAATCATGTTGAAGAAACTTGTTAACCACTCGACGCCTCTCTCTCCCAAACTTCTCCAAGCCTCGATCGGTATGCCATCTGGCCCCATTGCTCTTTTCCGTCCCATCTTCCTCAGAGCTTCTTTAACTTCCGTTGTTTGGATCCTTCTCACAAAATCACGGTTTACCATACAATCTGGTATGGACAAATCACCGATATCTTGCGTTTTGTTCCCGTTGAATAGTGTATCAAAGTATGACCTCCACCTCTCTTTTATCTCTCCGTCGTCCATTAATATCCTCTGATCAACATCCTTCACACACTTAACTTTTGCAATATCTTGAGTTCTGCGATCACGAAGACGAGCAAGTCTATAAATATCTAGTTCTCCTTCCTTAGAGTCCAACTTTTCATACAACTCCTTGTTCACTTTCCCTCGTGCTTCCCTTACGGCTTTCTTTGCTTGTCTTTTAGCCTCCCTGTATGCTTCTATGTTCTCATCACTCCAATTTGTCCCCAACTTTTTGTAGCAATCTCTTTTGTTCCTTATGGCTTGTTTCACCTCATCATTCCACCAAGATGTGTCCTTTTTAGGTGGCCGACATCCTTTAGATTCTCCAAGTACCTCATTTGCCACTTTGTTAATGGTCAACTCCATTGATAACCACACATCATCCACCTGTGTTTCATTATCAATACGCCATACATCTTCACTGACCATTTTGTGTGTAAAGCTTTGTTGAAGATCTCCCTCTAGCCTCCAC